CTGCACTCCAGTATGGGTGACAGTGAGACTCCAACTCAAAAAAAAAAAACAAAAACAATAAGACAATGTAAAAACCATTTGAACTTTTAAAATCCTAAAGGTGTTTTCAGGGAGAAAAGATATTAGTTGGGGAGCTTTCAAAATAAACAGTCTAAGAATATATAGATGGAGTGACCAGGAGAGTTGATAAGATTGTTCTAGACCAATGACATGTCACAAGAACAGATGCAGTCTAAGGCAAATGGTAAGCAGCCTCCTTGGAGGCATGTTCTAGGGGACTTGTGAAAGGTAAGAATTTGATTTTGTTCTTCAGCTGCAAGCTTCTGACTGTAAACGGAGTGTTCACGTGGCTTTCATTCAGCAATACTTAAGTGCCTACTGGGCACTTGTGTGCAGGCACTGGGGCCCCATGCAGAGCAAGCGCCTGTAGTACCAGCTCTTGGAATTTTTGTGTAGATATGCCTGAGAAACATGAATCTGGTGGTTGTTCTGGAAGGTAAAATATGCAGGAAACAGACCAGAGGCAAGGAGGACAGTGAGGACTGATCTGTGCGGTTGTCTAGGCCTGAATAAGATGGAGGTAATTTGGATCGGGAGCTCGAGATGACATTCTTTTTATCAGGAGAGTAGAAATAATCAAGATTTTAAAAATTGGGCTCTGAGAGATATGTCTTCCTCATTGGGAAGAAAGGATACATAGAATTCCGAAAGTACAGCCAGTCTCAGTGGCTCAGCCTGTAATTCCAGCACTTTGGGAGGCCGAGGAGAACGGATTGCCTTAGCCCGTGGGTTCGAGACCTGTCCGGGCAACTTGGAGAGACCTTGTCTCTACAATAAAATCAAAAATTAGCCAGGTGCAGTAGCACATGCCTGTAGTTCCAGCTACTTGGAAGGCTGAGGTAGAAGGATCACCAGAGTCCAGCAGGTCGACTTTGGGGTGACCATGAGCATGCCACTGCACTCCAGACTGGGCGATGGAGTGAGATGCCAACTCAAAAAAAAGCAAAAGTATATAAGTTGAAAGGGGAAAAATGAGAGCTGTGACCCATGATCTATCTTCCATGAGGGAAACTGGGACGTTGACTGGAGCAAAGGCCTGGGAGTGGATTTTAGGGCTTAGGGTGACTAACTGGCATGGACAGGCCAGGAGGAGAAAAATCTCATGCTCTGGTGGAACAGTCCTGGCAACATAGCCTCTCAATCCTGTCCAACCCTATACTGCTTAGACACTTAGGTTAATAAATTATGACAGATTTATGTGATGACATGTTGTACAGCAATTACAAAGATGTTTTCAAAGAATATAAAATGGCAAGTTGGCAGGGTGTCGTGGCTCTTGCCTATAATTTCAGCACTTTAGGATGCCGAGGCAGGAAGATTGCTTCAGGCCAGAGGTTTAAGACCAGGTTGGGCAACATAGTCAACCCCATCTCTGCAAAATAAAAAAAAATTAGCTAGGCGCACCTGTAGTCCCAAACTATTCAGGAGGCTGAGGTGAGAGGTCTCACCTGAGCTCAGGAGTTCACGGCTGCAATAAGCTATGATCACGCCAGTGCCCTCCAGCCAGGGCAACAGAGGGAGACCTTGACTCTTTAAAAAAAAAAGTGTAAGATGATAAATGAGGAGTACCCAGCTGTACTTTACCATATTATCTGGATTATATTTTATGTATGCATTTACATAGGGAGCAAAGCTGACGTAAGTAGACAAAACGTTAATATCAGAAGGTGGGATGAGGAATGTGTTTGCTGTATCCATGTTTTGTGTTTTACAATATTCTACAATTCAATAAAAACATACTGTTTGTATGTTCAGAAAAATATATACGCTCTTATGCTATCAACAAGGCCTTTTTGTTAATTATTTTGGTTCTTAAAACTATAAAGCTGTACTGTGCTCATTTAGGGTCACCTGAAGAGAAGTAATCATTTTACATAGTTGATTATTTTTACTCTTTTATTTTCTCTTTGACTTAGATTGGCCCAAGAGAGAGAAGCAGCAAAAGCCAAGAAAGCAAAATCAGCAACAGACACCACCAACTTAGTAGAAAAGATGGGCGGGGTAGATTTCCATATGAAAGCTGTGCCTGGGACAGAAGTGCCAGGTCACAAGGTGAGTCTCCTCTGTAGCCTGAGCCAGTCTGGGACGCCTGAGACCACGTGATTGTGGGTGACACGTCTAAAACCAGTTTCTTTTTTTTCTTCCTTTGAGGCAATTGACATAGATAGTACTTTGTGATTTTCAGGGTGCGTTTATAACTCTTCCGTAGGCATAGTTCTCTACCATTTTACAGAGAGAGAAATCAAAACCCAAGTAGAGATGGACTTCCACAGGATAGGGGTGGTGAGGAGAACGGGCAGTTCCCAAGTTCGCCTTTTCAATGGCTGGTGTATTTTTGCACAGCATGCTTCATGGTTTATTTGGGACTGATAGCTAGCTGTTCCCTTCTTTTTTCATCTTTTCTTTCCTTTCACAATTTTTCTCTTTGAGAACTCTTATTTCATTGTCGGAAAACTAAACCCAACTGCAGTTATAGCCCACTGTGAGTTCAATTTTTTGTTGTGTTTATGTGATGTTATTAGAATCTTTTCCCTTTGTAACACAGAGCAAATATATGAATTCTTTTTTTTCTTTTAGAATTGGGTTGTGAGTAAATTTGGAAGAGTCTTACCTGTTCTTCACCTCAAGAGTCAGCACAAACGTAAAATATCCCTTTGGCTAACCCCTGTAATTATTTGCCACAGGGATGGGTACTTGCAAACCACTCTTAGGGTTTCGCTGCCTCCCTCAGTCAATAGTTCGATCTCTATTTGACAGTTGGGTGCTTCCAGTTTCCAGGTTCTTACCCACATGCTTGAGATTATCTTCAGTTAGCAAACAATAAGAACTGTTATTTAAAGAGAATGAAGTGAGGTTTTGTAAGTAAGTAACTCAAGTGAAGCGTGCCAAAGAAGCAGGTGGGGTTGTTAATTTACTTATCTTGTATATGGATTCAAAGCCATTGCTAACAGAGCAAAGAAGGCAGGAGAACAAGGGACCGTCATTAAATAAAGCTTAAGAATTGAAGGAGGTTTCAAGTTAGTAGAAAAGTGACTGGAAGTAGTCCTAAAAAGAGGAAAATTGTGTTAAAAGTATGTAGACAGGCAGGAGAATGGTGGGTGGAGAAATAGTGTGAAACCCAGGGTGATGCTGATGCCTATTAAATGAGGCCTGGTTATCTAAGACCTTGAAGACATGTGTCATGAACTTCTGAGCAGAAGGCATATCTTAGTGTATGCTTTAGCTGATGGCAGTTAGTCAGGGAAGCAGAGACAGGTATTTCAAGCAGAGGGAATGTAATATATGCAGTTGGTTAATCAAGTGTTAGAAGAGTGAAAAAGCTGATGGTCAGATTGTGCAGTGGTTGACCACTGCAGGAAGCCACTCCTCCTTCAGGGCTTACAGCTACTGTGCCACTGAAGCCATTGCCTGAATCAAGGCCCCAGTAGCACTGGCTGTAGCTACTATTTCTGCCCTTCTTGCCGGTGGCACGTCAGGGAGGTACTGATTTCTTCTCTCCACCTTTCAGCTTCCCACTAATGGCAGCCACTAGACAGAGGGAAACAGACTGACAGGACAGACGAAGATATTGGAGATAATGAAGAGTAGACACAGTAGAACTTTTTGGCAGACTTCACATATATTTGACATGTGTTAAGTACTTACTAGGCCAAGTGTGGTGGCTTAAGCCTATAATCCCATCACTTTGGGAGGCCAAGGCGAGAGGATTGCCTGAGCCCGCGGCTTCGAGACCTGCCTAGGCAACATGGTGAGACCTCGTCTCTACAATAAATCAAAAACTTAGCCAGGCGTGGTAGCGCATGCCTGTAGTTCCGGCTACCTAGAAGGCTGAGATGGAAGGATTACCAGAGCCTAGCAGCTCAATGCTGGTATGGCCGTGAGCATGACACTGCACCTCAGCCTGCCCAGGGGTTGGAGTAGGACTCCAACTCAAAAAAAAGAACAAAAAAAGTAGTTACTAAATGTACAAAGGGACTTTTTTTTTTTTTTTTTAGTCAGAGTCTCACTGTCACCTAGGCTGCCATGCGATGGCATGCTCATGGCCACTGCAGCCTCAACCTGCTGGACTTAGGCGATCCTTCTGCCTCAGCCTTCCATGTAGCTGGAACTACAGGCATGCGCCACCACGTCTGGATAATTTTTTAATTTTACTATAGAGAAGTGATCTTGCCATATTGCTCAGGCTGGTCTCAAACCCCTGAGCTCAGGCAGTCCTCTTGCCTCCACCTCCCGAAGTGCTGAGCTTACAGGCATGAACCACCACATCCAGCCAAAGGTACCTGATAGAGTGATAGCTGAAAGTACCTTAGTACTTGCCTATTCAGTTGCTTGAGAGAATCAGCAAATGCCAGCTGTTGGGCAACACGTTGACTTTAACTGGAATCTTTCTGGATAATGTCAAAAACAAAGCAAGCTTGGTAAATATTTATTAGCTTTCTAATAAAGACCTTAAAAAAAAGTATTGCAAAGGTGCGTTCTTGTGAAGTGGATGTCACTGAGCTAGGAGAATCAGCTAGGATGAGTCAGTACTGAGAAGATAGGAATGGCCAAAAGAGTTTGAAACTAAAGGACACGTGTTGTATTGCTGTACCCTTCTGGGTTCCCCTCTGCTTTATGATAGCATCTCGATGGATTTCTGTGATTTGCAGAAAACAGCCCTGGGACCTGTATTCCTAGAATACAATCTGACTAGGTTTTCTATAACATCTACATACCGTCCAAATAATTTCTGCCAACTAATAGTAGTGGTACTGGGTTTTAACTCAGAAAATGTCATAGAAATGTCTTAAACCCTGAAAGGTCACCTAGTAAAGTCCTCATTTCGTTTGATAGAAAACTGAAGGCAGGGGGAAGTGAATGACTTGCTTGGGATTAAGAGGTAGTCTTTGTTGCAACAATCTGATAGATTTTCCTGAAACTAACTGCTTTAGTTTTGTTCCTTGACTTTGTGTAACGTCATAAAATATGATCCTTCAAAATTTTGCCACAACCTAAAGAAGATAGGGGAGGATTTCACAAATACCATTCCTGTATCCAGCCTCACTTGGGAATTGGAAGGAGGGAATGACCCTATGAGTAAGAAGCGACGAGGGGAGTTCTCTGACTCTCATGGCCCTCCCAAGAAGACGATAAAAGTGAACGACGAAAGTTCCACGGGGTCTCTGGCAACGAGTCCAAGGTCCAGCTGGGTAATGGCAAGTCCACACTTAACACAGCAACAAGCTGTACAGAAAAGACGTGGTGTTTCCATTACTTCTTCTAAACCACCCCTTGTTCCTGGTACTGATACTCAGAAACTTAACAATGTGCCCTTTTGGACTTCTGGCTTAGAAACTTCCAGGATTAGAAATAGTGTATCAGATGATGATATGGATTCAGAAGATGAATTAAGCGTGATGATTGCAAAAGAAGAAAACTTACAGAAAAGTACATGGTCCTCAATAAGTGAATCTGAAAATGATCCCTTCGAAGTTGTAAAGGATGACTTTAAATCAGATGCTCACAAACTTCATTCCTTAACAGGTTTAGGTATCAAAAATAATGTCTCTTGCCATGTTAGTGATGATTATGTTATGGGAAATGATTGTGAGTATGATTCAGGAGATACAGATGAAATTATTGCAATGAAAAAAAACATTAGTCAGGTCATAAACAGTACAGAATTTCCACAAATGGAAAAATCTATATACAAGAAAACTTCTTTCAAAAACAAAGAAAACTGTGAGCTTTCTAAACATTTTATTCAAGAACAAAAAAGAAAAAACAATGTAGAGTCAGCCATTAGTCATGGAGTGAAGCCTTTTAATTGTAAATCTCCATCTGACTCCAGTAGTAGTGAAGATGGTGATTCTGCATCAGAATTAGCTGAGTCTGAGGGAGACAAGGAGTATAATGCCATGATAAAAAACTGTCTCCGTGTGAATCTCACTTTAGATGACTTGGGACAGTTGGCTGGCAGTGATCCAAAGGTTCCAAATGATGCTGAGAGCAATGGCCAAGAAGAAACCACCGTCTGCCTCAAGTATGACAGAGCCTCCAAGAGCCCCAAAACTTCCTGTGGCATCCGCAAAGGCCAACAGTGTATTTGTCCTGAGGAGATTTTAGCTTCTCTTTTAGAAGGAGAGACTACCTGTGATAAACAGAAACCAAAGGAAAATAACGTAAAGCCAAAATTTCAGGCTTTCAAGGGAGTAGGCTGTCTCTATGGAAAGGAGTCATTGAAAAAGTCATTGAAAGAGAGTATTGCCTCTAAAAGTATTAATAAAGATCAGAATTCCTTGAAACATAATGATCCTACTAGCATTTTCACGGAAAACAGGTCCCCATATGCTAATGACTCATCAAGTGGACTGACTTCAAGTCAATACGCAAAGGTCAATGGTGCAAACAATATCCAACCTCAAAAAAGACAGTCCACTTTTGAGAGTCAAGTCCACAAGGTGGTATCCCCCAACAGTTCCGGAAAGGGAAGTAGGAACCCTGTTTCTAACCTGTTGCCATTAAAAAGTAAGAAGTCCTTAAGTCTTAGTATAAATACTCACAAGATACGCTTTGACAAAGACAGCTGCCATAGTGCCACAAATACAGAAACTTCAGAGGACGAGAGCTCTGATTCAAGCAGCCTCACACCTCTTGAGAAATCACCAAAGGTCTCTTCCAGGAAAGACACTCAGGAAAGCAAAACCGATTTCTCACTTTCCATCAGTAAGTCAACGGATATGAGTGCTAAGGATAAGCGTGCTGAAGATAATCAGAAGCGGTTGGCAGCCTTGGAAGCAAGACAGAAAGCGAAAGAGATGCAGAAGAAGCTAGTACATAATGCTCTGGCAAATTTGGTGAGTATCTTAACAATCTATGTATTTAACAAGAACTCACAAAGTCCAACTTTTTCTTCCCAGATGCTAAGTGTGCCCCCTAGAGTTGATTTTCATAGTGTTCACTGGTTTCATATTTTGTGTCCTTGAGTTAGAAGCTTTTCACCCTATATATTTAGCATATCCTAAAAGAAGTGAGATTAGACTGTTTTACCAAAAATTTTCATTATAATTTCCTTTCATTTAGAAGCTATAACTGGCATTGTTAAGTAATACATCTTTTTTTAAGTTCAAAGTTTTAATCCATATTTGAGTAATGCATCTTTTTGTTGTTGTTGAGTCAGAAGATTACTCTGTCACCCAGGGTACAATGCAGGGACATGCCCTTGGCCACCATAGCCTCAACCTGCTGGACTCAGGTGATCCTTCCACCTCAGGGGCTCAGGTAATCCTCTAGCCTCTACCTCCCAAAGTGCTGGGATTCCAGTCAAGAGCCACCGCACCCAGCAAGTAATCCGTCTTTTTTTTTTTTTTTCCTTCGAATCAGAGTCTCACTTTGTCGTCCAGGCTGGAGTGCAGTGGCACGCTCATGGTCACCCCAGCATCAACCTGCTGGGCTCAGGCGATCCTCCTCAGCCTTCCAAGTAGCTGGAACTATAGATGCGCGCTACCACGCCTGGCTAATTTTTTGATTTATTGTAGAGATGAGGTCTCACCAAGTTGCCCAGGCTGTTCTCGAACTTGTGGATTCAGGCAGTCCTCTGACCTCGTTCTCCCAAAGTCAAAGTACTGGGATTACAGGCTTGAGTCACCATGCCTGGCCATCTTAATGTGTCTGAATTTACATATAAAACTTGCCAAGTGACTGGCGGCCATGGTTCAAGCCTGTAATCCCAGCACTTTGGGAGGCAGAGGTAAGAGGATTGCCTGAGCCTAGGGATCGAGACCAGCCCTGGCAACTTGGCTAGACCGTGCCTCTACAGTAAATCAAAAAATTATGCTGGGCGCGGTGGCTCAAGCCTGTAATCCCAGTACTTTGGGAGACCAAGGCAAGAGGATTGCCTGAGCCCAGAGGTTCAAGACCAGACTGGGCAACTTGGCAAGGCCTTGTCTCTACGGTAAATCAAAAATTCAGCTGGGCATAGTGGTGCATGCCTGTAGTTCCAGCTACTTGGAAGGCTGAGGTGGAAGGATCGCCTGAGTCTAGGAGGTTGCGGCTGTGGTGGCCTTGAGCATGCCACTGCGCTACAGCCTGTGCAACAGAGTAAGACTCTAACTCAAAAAAATAAAATAAAAATTAGCAGGCGTGGTGGTACGGGCCTATAGTTCCATCTACTTGGAAGACTGAGCTGAAAGGATCGCCTAAACCCAGCAGATCGAGGCCACAGTGACCATGAGCATGCACTCCAGCTTAGTCAACAGTGAGACTCCGACTCAAAAAAAAAAAAAAAAACTTGCCAAATGATTTATACCTTGTCAAGTCTTGCCAAGATTCACTGTAATGAGCTTTCCTTCAGTTTTCCAACAGCTGTTAGGTACACCTTTACAGCAAGAGCCATATTATAAAATGAGGGTGGTGGTCTTGCCTCTGGAAGTTATTGGCTAATAACTGACGTTGTGGCCGACAGACAGTCACAGTTCAGTTACACAGGGCCAAGAGAAGACCATGTCTTTGTACCCTAGCAGCACACAGAAGACACTCCAAGCCAGTTGTGTCTGAGCTGAGTAGTGTGAAACGATCGATAAGTAGAAATTGCTCAGGTCAAGAGAAAGAGTAGGAAGAGGAAAGGCAGTTCAGGAAGATGGAGCAGTCTATCCAGAGGAGAATGTTTTTAATCAAGTGTGACTGAAATTTATAGAGAATAAGGTGGCAGGAAATGAGACTAGTGGTTAGATTTTATGTATTTATTGTTTTATTTTTTTGAGTGGGAGTCTCACTCCATTGCCTAGGCTCAAGTGCAGTGGCACACTCACAGCCACCCCAGCGTGGCCGTGACCTGCTGGGCTCCAGCGATCCTTCTGCTTCAGCCTTCCAAGTAGCTGGAACTACAGGCGCATGTTGCCATATCCGACTAATTTTTGATTTATTGTAGTGACGAGGTCTCACCAAGTTGCCTGAGCTGGTCTGAACCCGTGGGCTCAGGCAGTCCACTTGCCTTGGCCTCCCGAAGTGCTGGGATTACAGGCTGAGCAACTGAGCTCAGCCTAGACTTTGTTTTTAGGTGAAAAGCTGATGAAGAATTTTTTTTTTTTTTTTTTTTT